TTTCACCACTTTACTAAGCAATCAGTCACAAAAGAGCAAAAGTACACCCTTATATATATGTGTATATAAATATACCCTCTCTTCAAGACTAAAGTGACAAGCTCAAGGTTTTCAAAATAAAAGTAAATAAAAAAAAGAAAAACTATTACATGATCTATCGGACGAGGCGAGAGCTTAAGAGATTAACGGAGACGGGGATGGGGAAAATCACCGGTGTTACAATATCCAAAGGTACACCTCTCCTTGATATGCCACCCTTATACTCGAAGGTACACCTCTCCTTGATATGCCAACCTTATCCCATGGTACACCTCTCCTTGATATGCCACCCTTATTTTCTCATCAAAATCTATGATATTAGTTCCAAACGAAGACAAACCGAAGTCACAACCGTCTTGATGAAATAGCCTCGATAGTTTTATCCACAAAATCTATAGATTAATCCCAAACGAAGACAGACTGAAGTCATAACCATTTTGAAGGAATGTCCTCTATAGTTTTTAACCAATAATGGTTTCAAAATAGCTTTATCATCAAAACTTTGTAACTCAAGAACAATCACTTCTTTCAACAATTTTCCAAACACCAAATCCCCTTTAAATCCTTAAAACATGATATCATCCCAAAACTGTTTAAAAGAGGCAAAATCTTCTTAATCTTTACAAAACAGTTTCCAAATCCAATATCGTAAACACGTATCTATAAATTGTTAGAAAACAGTTTTCTCCAATCTTGTCCAAATATCAAACCATCAAAACCCAACAGTTCTCAAATAACATTATATAAAGGTTTTAGTTATCAAAAACTCACTTTAACAACTCAAACTTGCAGGTTCAAACACACATATTTCCTTAATCACTTTTATGCAACAGTTCCTTCTTTAAGAACACTTCCATCACCACACACACACTTTCTTTTCTCTCAAAGGTTTTTTCCCCAAAAGTAAGATACGATAGGATCTTATCTCTTATCTTCTTTTTATACCTCTTTAACAAAGGCGGTGGTGGATTCACTATTATAAAATCACCTTTCTTAACCATGAAGGTTTACCTCATCTCACAATAAAATATTAATAACCCAACTAAGCATTTTACCCCACCAAGCATGTAATTTAATTTACGTGCACATATCTATATGAACACTTACGCATGTATGCACTGTATCACCTTGTATGTACACACATATTCTTATGCATGCACAATATCATCTTTTTCATGTGTACGCATATTATTCATGCATTTAATTAAATAACATGCATGCCATCACATATTTAACAGAATAATCACATATAAGTTATCTCAACCCAGGTTGTCTGAAACCTGGTTATAACAATTCTTTGTATGGGGGATGTTATAAAACTGTTTTGATGCTAGCATTTTGATATGATTATATCAAGTGTTTGGAATAAGGGTGACATATCAAGGAGATGTGTATTTTGGTTATAACAATATCAAATAGAGGTGTATTTTGGGATAAGAGTGACATATCAAAGAAATGTGTATACCAGGATAAGGGTAACATAATCAATGAAATATAAAATTTGGGTTTTTGATCAACTGTTAACTGTTGTCGCATTCTTATGATGCGATTACTTGCAGTTGTCGCATCTGTGTGATGCGATGACTTAAGTTATCGCATCCTATTGATGCGATGAATGGGTTTTGTCGCATTCTTGTTATGCAAGGAGTGAGTTTGTCGCATCCTTGTGATGTGACAAGATGAACTTATTGCATCTTACTGATGTGACAAGTTGTGTTTATCGCACCAGTGTGATGCAATGAGCTAGGTCCGTACACCAGTGTGTTGCGAGGAAATGAAGTTGTCTCACCCATGTGATGCGAGAAATTTATCATTTTATCTATATGATGCGATGAGTTTTACCCTAATGCGATAAATGAGTTAGTTGCTTATTTGATGTGATAATTGGATGATGTCTCATCATTTTGATGCGACAAAAGAGGTTTATTCTGTTAAAATGTTGTTTACTTGTTATTGATACAAATATGAGTTTATAAATGGGATTTGATGGTTATTCACCCTGTGATAGCAAACAAAGGAATTTTTCACTAAACCTCAAGGTTTAACTCTCATTTTTGGTGTTCAGAAGATGTGCATTACAGGTCGGACACAACCAATGATAAGGGGAAGGAGAAATTTTGAGGAATTATATATGCTTGCATGGGATGATGGGTTAACATGTTATCTTTCGTATTTGAATTCTAGTTTTATATACAAGTTTTATATAATTTATGGAAAAATTTGGTAGCTACTTTGTAATGTAGTCCTTGCAAATGGTGGGACCAGTTGTGTAAATTATATTTATTGATATATGAAAATATATGCAAATATGATTGGAGTGTTATATTTTTCAAAGTACAATGACATAATAATTTTTTTTAAAGTTATTGTTATAATAAGAAAAATTGAAATTATAATGCCTAAAAAACAAATTGAAAGTATATTACTATAATAAAAAAAAGGATAAAAATATAATGTCATAATATAAAACAATATGAAAGTATATTGTTGAAATCAAAAAACAAAAATATAATGTCATAATAAAGAAATTTATGAAAGTATGTTGATAAATATAATATATAGACACACACACAATATATATATATATATATATATATATAATAGTATATACA